ACGGAAAGACGCATAAAAACTACCAACCCTTTCAACTTCGCGACCTCAGACCGCATGCGCAATAGAAAAGTTACCCTGGTTCAAACCTGTTTCGCATTAACGCAAAATTCTTTCAAGACAAGCCAGCCTGAGTCAGCCCGGGCCGAGTCAGCCCGGGCCGAGTCAGCCCGGGCCGAGTCAGCCCGGGCCGAGTCAGCCCGGGCCGAGTCAGCCCGGGCCGAGTCAGCCCGGGCCGAGTCAGCCCGGGCCCACTCAGCCCGGGCCCACTCAGCCCGGGCCCACTCAGCCCGGGCCCACTCAGCCCGGGCCCACTCAGCCCGGGCCCACTCAGCCCTGGCCCACTCAGCCCTGGCCCACTCAGCCCGGGCCCACTCAGCCCGGGCCCACTCAGCCCGGGCCCACTCAGCCCGGGCCCACTCAGCCCGGGCCCACTCAGCCCGGGCCCACTCAGCCCTGGCCCACTCAGCCCGGGCCCACTCAGCCCGGGCCCACTCAGCCCGGGCCCACTCAGCCCGGGCCCACTCAGCCCTGGCCCACTCAGCCCTGGCCCACTCAGCCCGGGCCCACTCAGCCCGGGCCCACTCAGCCCGGGCTCACTCAGCCCGGGCCCACACAGCCCGGGCCCACTCAGCCCGGGCCCACTCAGCCCGGGCCCACTCAGCCCGGGCTCACTCAGCCCTGGCCCACTCAGCCCTGGCCCAAGCTCAGCCTGGCCCTCAGCCTGCGCATCAGCCTGGCGCACTGCGCCCTGGGCCGCACTCTAGGACCCTGGCCCACTCAGCCCTGGCCCACTCAGCCCTGGCCACTCAGCCCTGGCCCACTCAGCCTCTGGCCCACTCAGCCCGTGGCCACATCAGCCCTGGCCCACTCAGCCCTGGCCTGCACGTCGAGCCCTGCCACTCAGCCCTGGCCCATCAGCCTCCAGCTGGCCCTGGCCCACTCAGCCCTGGCCCACTCAGTACCGCTGGCCTCCACTCGAGCCTGGCCCACTCAGCCCTGGCGACACTGCAGCCCCTGGCCCACTCAGCCCTGGCCCACTCACGGCCCTAGCCTCCAGCACTGCAGCCTGGCCCACTCAGCCCTGGCCCACTTCAGCCTGGCCCACTCGAGCCCTGGGCCCATAGCCCTCGCCCTAGCCGGCCCAGGCGTCAGCCGCTTGAAGCCGGCATCAGGCCACTGGCCCGACTCAGCCTGTTCCCTCGTGTGCACACTCACGCCTGGCCGCACTCAGACCCTGGCCCGCAAACACTGGACCCGTACCTCAGCCCTGAGCCCACTCAGACCTGGCCGCACTCAGCCGCCCATTCAGCTGAAAGACGCAGCGGTCAGCCCCGCCCACTCACGCCTCGCCTGCCCACCTCAGCCTCGCCACTCACCCTGCATTAGCCCTGGCCACACGCCACTCAGGGCTTAGCCCTGCCCTCAGCCTCCACTCGCCCTGGCCCACTCAGCCTGGCCCTACTCAAGCCTGCCCACTCAGGCCCTGCACCACTCACCGCGGCCCACTCAGGCCGCTTGGCACCTCAGCCCTGCCCACTCAGGGCTGGCCCACTCAGCCGTGGCCCACTCAGCCCTGGTGCCCACTCAGCTCGCCGATGCCCCTCAGGCCGCGCTCACAGGTCAGCACCTGGCCACTCAGGCCCTGGCCCACTCAGCCCTGGCCTTTCATGTTTTGTTGTCTTTTTGTTTCTATGTCTTTCTTATGGTTTTTTTCGTATATATTTTCTCATTGTCTCTTCTGTGTCCTTCATCTTTCTAGTCCGGGTCTGTCCTCCTTCTCTTATGCTCTCTTTGTGTCTTCTTCTCTCTTAGTCTTTGTGTCTTCTGTCTTTTTTTTATGCCTGTGTCTTGCACT